CTATTTTAAGTATTCTCCTAATAAAATGAAGGGCAAGATCGCCTAAGTTTAAAAAAAAAAAAAAAAAAAAAAAAAAATAAAGTAAAATAATTAATTTGAATAAAAAGAAATCCTACTTAGTGCCAGTCTGCTACCATAACTCGTCAGTAAATTAACTATCAACTAGCAAATATTGAACCTATGACTACTAGCCTCATGGTTCCAAATTTATACTACTTTACTAAAGCAGGCACATAATAAAATTTTAATATACACTCCTTAAGAATATCTAAATTTGTTGACAAATAACTAATAAAATTAAAGATTTTCATATGTTTAAAATTAAGATTTGTTTAATTTAAGGAAGAAATTCAAAGTGCATTAACTTTGAATTAATTTAAAAATTAAATTTACTGACTAAAAAAAATAGGTAAGAGAAAGTATAGTTATTAGCATAAAGGGAGAGGTCACCAAATAGAAGTATTAAGAGATATTATAATAAAATAAAGAAAAATAAAAATAAAAATATATTAAAAATAAAATTTTAACTTCAGAATCGAAAAAGAAAGAAAAAAAAAAAAAAGGAAGATGAAGTAAGAAGGTAAAATATAGAGATTAGATTTTTGAAACAAGAGTTAGATAAATTAAAAGAAAGAGAAAAGTAGAGATACGAAGAGAAGATATTTAGAAAAAGAAAAGAAAAAGAGAAAGAAAAAGAAAAAGAAAAAAATATATCATTTATTTTGACAGAGAGGTATAAAGAAGTAGTGTGGTTTAGGTTGAAAAATAATAGAGAAAGATGTGATATAGTAGATAGTGAAAATAAAAAGTTGAAGAGAGATTTGATAGAGAAGAAGCTTATGAATATAGAGTTGCTTAAGAAGACTGATAAGTTGAAAAGAAATATAATAGAGAGTTTGGAAGAGCAGATAGAAGAAATGCTAATAGATATCAATGAAGAAAAAATAGAATTAGAAAGTGATTTGGAGTTAGTGAGTAAAGAGATTAAAAGATTGAAGCAAGAGAATAAGAAATTAAAAAAAAGATAGGATGAGTAGTTCAGTAAAGAAAATACAGGAAAAGATAAAGAAGAAGATGAGCGAGATAAGAAGATTAGAGAGTTAGAGGCTATACTTTTGCTTTAAAAACACATATCATCTTGAATATTCTTTTTAAATTTTACAACAAATTATTTAATTTTTAATCCTAAAATTTACAAAATTTTAGAGGCTATACATTTGCTTTTAAATTCTATGAAAAGGATTTAATTATTTTTATTTTTGATTTTAATATTTTGGAATTCCTTTAAAATATTTTAAAACACATATCATTTTATTTTATAACAAATTATTTTCATCCTAAAATTTACAAAGTTTTAGAGGCTATACTTTTGCTTTTAAATTCTATGAAAAGGATTTAATTATTTTTATTTTTGATTTTAATACTTTGGAATTCTTTTAAAATATTTTTAAAACATACATCATTTTATTTTACAACAAATTATTTTATTTTTATCCTAAAATTTACAAAATTTTAGAGCCTATACTTTTGCTTTTAAATTCTATGAAAAGGATTTAATTATTTTTATTTAAATTTGATTTTATTACTTTGGAATTCCTTTAAAATATTTTTAAAAAAACACACATCATCTTGAATATTTATTTTAAATTTTATAACAAATTATTTAATTTTTATCCCTAAAATTTACAAATTTTTTAGGCTTTACTTTTTGCTTTTAAATTCTATAAAGAGAATTTAATTCTTATTTAATTTTATATCTGATTATTTCAACTTCTTTTAAATTATTTTTGAAAAATACAAATTATTTGAATGTTTTTTACAACAAAATATTAGTAATTTCTAAAGTTTAAATTTAACATACACACATATATTTTTTTTATTTTTCTAAAATTTTTATTTTTTATTATTTCGTTTCTAAATTCTTAAATTATTTATATCATTTATTTTAACTTTTATTTTTATTTATTTTATATTTTATATTTCTATATTTTTCTATTTAAAACAAAATTTATTTATTAATAATTTCAAAATATTTACAACAATCCTAATTGCATCCTACAAATTTTATCTTCTAACTCCTCTATTCTCTTCCTTAATTTCTTCTTTTCTCCCTTTTGATAAACTTTATATCTGTCAAATTTTTTCTGCACATAATCTAATTGATTTTCTTTTTCTCTACACTATTTTTATAACCCATCATCATCTCATAAACTACATCTACTCCTTTTACTTCTAAAAAATTTTCATACTCCTTAACTTTCTTCTCTAACTCTCTAATCTTCTTATCTCGCTCATCTTCTTCTTTATCTTTTTCTATATTTTTTTTACTGAACCACTCATCTCATCTTTTCTTTAATTCTTCATTCTCTTGCTCCAATCTTCTAATCTCTCTACTCACTAACTTCAAATTACTTTCTAATTCTACTTTCTCTTCATCGATATCTATTAGCATTTCCTCTATCTACTCTTCCAAACCCTCTATTATATTTCTCTCCAACTTATTTGTTTTCTCAAGCAACTCTGTATTCATAAGCTCCTTCTCCATCAAATCTCTCTTCAACTTTTTATTTTCACTATCTACTATATCACATCTTTCTCTATTATTTTTTAACCTAAACTATACTACTTCTTTATACCTCTCTATTAAAATAAATAACATATCTTTTTTTTTTTTTTTTTTTTTTTTTTTTCTTTTTCTAAACATTTCCTCTTCATATCTCCACTTTTCTCTCTCTTTTAATTCATCCAACTCTTGTTTCAAAAACCTAATCTCTATATCTCTCTTTCTTACTTCATCTTTCTTTTTTTTTTCTTTTTTTTCTTTTTCGATTCTGAAGTTAAAATTTTATTTTTAAATATATTTTTATTTTTATTTTTATTTCTTTATTTTATTATAATACCTCTTAATACTTCTATTTGGTGACCTCTTCCTTCTATGCTGATAACTATACTTTCTCTTGCCTATTTTCTTTAGTCAGTAAATTTAATTTTTGAATTAATTCAAAG